ATTGTGTTGTTCAGCTATATTTCATCATATCGTGTTGGTTGTTCTGTGTTCGGATTGGTCTTGGAGTGGAATGAGACACTTAGTTTCTAATTTAGGAGCTTAAGTGGGAAAAGTCAACCGGATGTTCACTTAAGTGTAAAAGGTCTCGAATGTGAATTCTGATGGTTCGCATAGCTTTGTTAGGTAATTTTAGACTTAGGAGCGTGTTCGGAATGTAACTTGGAGGTCCGTGGTAGAATTAGGCTTGAATTGGAGAAATTTGAAATTTGGAGTTTTTCGGTCGGCAGTGGAAATCTTGATAGCGGGGTCGGAATGGAATTCCGGAAATTTGAGGTGGTCCGTTGTGTCATTTGTGACGTGTGTGCAAAATTTCAGGTAATTCGGATGAGGTTTGATACGTTTTTGCATCGTTTGCGAAATTCCGAAGTTTGGAAATCCTTAGGCTTGAATTCGAGGGTGATTTGGTATTTTGATGTTGTTTTGAGTGTTCCGAAGGCTGGAATAAGTTTGAATAGTGATATGTGACTTGTTCGTATGTTTGGTAGAGGTCCCGAGGGCCTCGGGTTGATTTCGGGAGGTTGACGGATCAAGGATGGGATTTGAGGAAGTGCTGAAGAATTACTTCAACTGTCATAACCGCACCTGCGGCTTGCGGACCGTAGGTGCGAGGTCCGCAGAAGCGCTAGAGCAACCGCAGAAGCGGTTAAGGCCAAGGAAGCCAGGATCCGCAGATGCGGGAGGAGGAGCGCACCTGCGTGACCGCATGTGCGAGTATTAGGCCGCAGATGGGCTATGGCCGGATAAGTGAAAAACCGCAGATGCGGTTGGTTTGACCGCAGAAGCGGTCCCGCAGGCATGGGTAGTGGACCGCAGATGCGGAAATCGCTGGGCAGAAAGTATAAAAGGCCATCTTAGCAAATTTCTGCCATTTCTTCACCATTTTTGGACGAGTTGGAGCTTGGGGGCTGTGATTTCAAGAGGGAAACAAGTGTTTTCAGTGAGGTAAGCTACTTGGGCCTTGTATCTTGTGTTTATGGAGATTATTCCATTGTTTAGTCATGATATTAGTGGGAAAATTAGGGAAGAAATTGAGAGATTAGGGCTTGAAATTGAAGAGTTTAAATTGGGGATTTGAGGGGCCATTTGAGGTCCGATTTTGATGATTTTGGTATGTATGGACTCGAGAGTGAAAGGAGTTTCTAGTTTTGCGATTTTTATCGGATTTCGAGACGTGGGCCCGGGGGTAGGGTTTGGCCAATTTCGGGAATTTTGTCGCATGGGCTTTGTTCCTTTAGCATATATTGATGATATGATTCTGATTTTGGACAGATTCGGGGCGATTTGAGGCCGAGTCGAGAGGCAAGGGCATTGCAGAGTAGATTTTCGTCCGGTTCGAGGTAAGTAACGATTGTAAATCTAGACCTGAGGGTATGAAACCTCGGAATTTCGTAGCATTTTGATAAATGAGGTGACGCACATGCTAGGTGACGGGCGTGTGGGCGTACACCCGTAGGGATTGTGACTTGGTCCGTCTCGTGGCAACTGTAGAGTTGCATATTTTGATAAACTCTATATGGTATTTATGTGTTTTAGAAATAATTCTGTTAACTTGGGCTGAATACCATGTTTGGGGCCTTGTGCCGTACTGTTTGGTCTCTCAGGGGTATTTTACTACTATCCTCACATTGTTTTGATAGAAAGCTATCCTCAGTCATGGTTTATACCTGTTTATTATTTAATCTTCTTCATCACTCTATTTTTTTATATATGAAAGTGTTTTGGGCTGAGTTCCCTGAGTTTGCACTGAGATGCCCGAGTGGCTTGTGAGGCTGATGAGTGAGTGAGGCCGAGGGCCGGATTGTGAGGATAGTTATGGATCGGGGCGTGCGCAGTGCTTTATATATATATATATATATATATATATATATATGGATCGGGCTGCACACCGCAGCGATATAGCGCTTGGGCTGTAGGAGCCCCTCCGGAGTCTGCACACCCCCAGTGAGCGCAGTCGACTATATATTTATGGATCGGGCTGCACGCCCCAGCGGTTATTATAAGATATCTATTGAGCGTGAGTGCTGATTGATGAGAGTTGAGTCACGGGTGACCAAGAGGCTTGCCCGAGGGGCTATATATATGAGTGATACTTTGCCCAAGGGGCCTGTTTTATGAAAATATTGTTTTCACTCTTCTTTATACTAAGCCTCTATTGAAAATATTGAACAAATGGTTTAACGAGAGTTTTTACTAGATGTTCAGAATTTAATTACTGATTTGATCTTGTTATTCCTACTGAGGTTTTTATGTTATGATATGTATATGATTTTAAATGCTCGTCACTGCCCTCAACCTTTATTTATAATTGTTACTTACTGAGTTGGCGTACTCACGTTACTCCCTGCACCTTGTGTGCAGATCCAGGTGCCAGAGCATCCGAGTGAGAGTTGTTCCTTTCTTTCAGAGCATTTCCGGAGTTAGCAAGGTAGCTGCATGGCGTCCACAACCCTGCCTTTCTCCTTCTTATCTTTAGTATATATTTTTATCAGACTCATCTTGTATTGAGTAGACATTATCAAATTGTATTTTAGTGGCTCATGACTAGTGACACTGGTATCGGGCAGTGTTTGATGTTTTGCGTATTTTTCCGCTTGTTTTGAAATGTTTAAACGAGAGATTTGTGATAGTATCTGATTAGCAAATGAATTTAAAAAAAGACCCTTTATGTTGTAAATGTCGAATCGGCTAGCCTAGTACTGCGGTAGGCGCCATCACGACCAGGGTGGTTTGGGGCCGTGACACAATCAAACCTCAAAAACTTAGTTGGAGAACTTCCAACCTTTTCCCCTAAATTTCTTACCCTAATTCCTTAAGTTAATGATGAAATCAACTATAGATTAATGGAATAAAATAAAAAATGAGTTAAGAATTATTACCCCAAAGTTGCCTTTAAAAAATCCTTGAATTATCGCCTTAATCCGAGCTCTCAAAGTCCCAAAATTGAAAATGGGTGTAAAACCCTCGAACTTGGCCCTTTTCTGCCCAGCGATTTCGCATCAGCGGAATTTCCCTTGCAGGTGTGGAAATGACTTAAAGGGATGGGTCCGCATCTGCGATTAAGGGCCGCACCTGCGAGTGCACGCCTGCAGAATCTGGTCCGCTTCTGCGGTCTCTCTTCGCACCTGAGCTCCTTAGGCACATCTGCGGAAATCGCAGGTGCTGAATATTACCTCGCACCTGCGACCCCTGAGCTCCCATCCCACTCCGCTTCTGCGCTAGACCTTCCGCATGTGTGATCCCGCACCTGCAATATCCCCACCGCAGGAGAAACACCAGAAACCAGAAAACTTCAGCAATTTGCATAAATCCAATTTCAATCCGTTAAGCATCCGAAACACACTCGAATCCCCCGGGACCTCAACCAAACATACCAACAAGTCCTAAAATATCATACAAACTTAGTCGAGCCCTCAAAACACGTCAAACAACAACAAAAATACGAATCACCCTCCAATCCAAACTTAATGAACTTGAAACTTCAAATTTCCACAACCGATGCCGAAACCTATCAAACCACGTCCGATTGACCTTAAATTTTGCACACAAGTCACATTCGACATTACGGACCTGCTCCAATTTTCGGAATCAGAATCCGACCCCGATATAAAAAAGTCCATTTCCGGTCAAAATCTCTAAAAATTCAACTTTCGCCATTTCAAGCCTAAATCAGCTACAGACCTCAAATTCACAGTTCGGAAACGCTCTTAAGTCTAAAATCACCCAACTAAGCTAACAGAATTGATGGAATTCCATTCCGAAGTCGTCTTCACACAGTTCCGACTACGGTAAAAAATCCTAAGACTTAAGCTTTCGTTTAGGGGCTAAGTGTCCCAAAATACTCTGAAACCAAAAACAAAACCTCCCGGCAAGTCACATAAGCAAAAAAGATACGGGAAAAGCAAAAAATAGGGGATCAGGGCTATTACTCTCAAAACGACCGACTGGGTCGTTACAATAAAAGTTTGGAATATTTCATTGTAAATCATGTTTTGCCATTAGGAAAAAAGAAAATAGGAGATTGTTTAATTTAATTGATAATTTGTTGGTATTTATGTTGTCGATCGCAACCTCTATTTTTTGTTTTAGTTTTGTTACTGCAATTATTGGCTTTGCACGGATTAGATAATAAGTTAAAATTGCTGAAATTTCAGTCTTCTAAGCATATATTTAAGGTTCATGTTTACATTGCCTTATTGACCTATTATTTTCGGGCTATAAATTTGTAAAGTTATTACTAGACCACATAATTGCAATATATTCATATGAGTTGTACTTATATGTAATTCTCTCGATTCGTTAATATGCTATCTTTAAGAAATCATTTCAGGTGTGTACACATCCCAAGGAAATGTAGATTAATTGCCTTTACTTGGCTTAAATTGAAAACTATCAAGGTAATTATATAGAATATTAAGTAGTTGCTACCTAAATATCCACAATTTTCGCAATTATTAGTACAAGTAATAAACACGCCTTAGATAGGAGAAAATCATAGTTCATCCTTGTACATGTAAATATTAATTTAACATTGATGGATTTCTTAAGAACCAAACTGGTCATCTGCTTTAGACGGAATCTTTTGAATGATCAAGAAGAATATGCTGCCAAAGCAAAGATTTAACTTACATTAAGACTTGCTAGAATTATAGAGCATTAAACAATGTCTCACAGAGTTAGACATGGAAATAGCATTATCCTCATATTTACCAACTTATCTTGGAACGCACGTATTAGTTTTTGAATGCTGCTAAAAAATTTACAAGCGAATAAGACCACTACTAAGTTTAGGAGGAGGCAAATAAGTGTGCAGATTTTACAGTAGTTTATAAAAATAATCAAAGACGAAGATTTGTTAACTTATGGTACTATATATACTAGATGGCCCGAGCCCGTGCAAAAGCACGGGCATTTGTGCGTAATTGTTGCGCGCAAGATAGTAGTACCACAAAGCTAAATATTGGCATAATGTGTTTAATATTAACATAAAGTACATCATAAATATAGATGTATATGCGGAACAAAGTTGTACAAGTACATTCTTAAGCTTGCTAGAATGTCCAAAACAGTCAAATTGTTCATGTTTATGTTGGCGAGATTGGATAAAATCTTGAGTTTAGGAGCTGCAACTGGTAACTCACGCTTCATCTTGCTATTCACTGAAAGACATGGAAAAGCATGCATTAGAAATAAAACATAGTTTACGAAAGGTAAATCCATGATGATCTACAATACAAGCAATGGCAAAGACAAAATAGTAACATCAGGAAATATTGGTGAGGCGTAAAAGGGATTCTTGAGAAAATTGTGGCAATGCTGGAAACAGAATCCCATGGTAGCAAAAATTTTAACATAATATATGGACCTTACTGCTCATATAAAGTAATTCTTCACCATGGTCATTCTTCCATGAAAGAACATGTTTTCCATGCAGGCTAACCTGGAGATAACAATATACGTAAGTAGCACATAAGCAAATGGGGAAATGTCATCTGATTCTAAAGTTATATCCAAAATTTAGTACCCAAAAGAAGACCAATATTTTATTGTCTCCATTGCAGAGTTTAAACAAAATATATGAAAAAGATTATTCAACAATGGATATGAAAGTAATGCACCATTTCTATATGTAATAAGAAAGCTATCAATTGTAAGTTAGAAATCCGTATAACCCCTTTTAAAAGGGTAAGGAGAGAACAATTACACTTTATATACAATCATACTTCTCAATAGACTTTTCCTTTATATTATTTTCCAAAATACAAAGATATAATGTATAAGGAAGAGGAGCTTGCTGACCTTAAGGCATTCACTATTTAGTGGCAGACTATTACTGTCCCTTTTGATTAAACAAATTTCTTTCAGAAGACATAAACATCTCATCTGTAATCAAGGAAGAGGAAGTTATATATCACTTTGGAAGCACGAAGTTCTTTTTTCAGTTAAAACTTGTAGAGAATATCTACTCTTCAACAAAAAAAAGAATGGAACATTGTTTGAGTTGTTGCTTTCACTTTAATAAGTTGTTTTCCTGAGAATTGCAGCTTAGCATTTGTACAAAAGAAATTTCACAAGAAAGAGATTAAATTACCTTATCAGCTTTTCTATTCCGTTTCCCAACGTTTCCACTGTAAGTGCTTCAAACTTCCTGCGTTCCGTCAGAACTTTCAGATCTTCAAGGCAAGAGAGCAAATAGGACACAGACTGATCATCATCTAAAGGTGTATTTGTCACACATCGAGCAATATGTACCAGTTCATTGATCAAAATGTCAAAATTTAGAACTCCTGAAAATATGGAAGCGGGTTATTTAAAGAAGTCGATACCAAATATACTACACTAACACGAGCAACTATAGGATATAAGATATTTATTACTGAAGCTTTACAGTGAGACAGAAAAATATCATTATAAGCTCTTTTTCAATCAATATGTTGCAAGAAACACAAGGTTCTCAAACTTCAAATGGAGCAACTCTAAAGAATAAGACAGAAAATACGGTTCAAATCAGAACTGAAAATGCTAATCATATTTCCACTTTAATAACAATTAAGCAATTACATATAATAAACCAATTCCTATCCTTTACAAATTCTGCAGTTTTAGGATCCCTATCTGCTGCTGTAGAACGATCCATTTTAAGAACAGAAATTGGATAATATTATCCTATCAAAAAGTATTGCTCAAACTTGCAGCACAACAGTTATTATTAAAGAGATGCAAATGAAGAATTTTGATTACCTTTGTTTCACGCCTATGGTTAGTGGAACACAGTGGTTACTGGAATGGTTGTGTACAGGACAAAAAGTGAAAAGCAAGCTGCAGTGCAAAATTTATTTTCCTGCAAAACAACTGTTGATAAATAGGAATTTTTTAAATAAATTTACATGTAATGGAGCCAATTAGAATTTTTACAGAACTACCACATGTACATATGTTGCTAAATTTCTAAGTTTTAGTAGGTAGGTCAGTGTTGTGAAGAGCGTCAAGCGAGAAGCTCCTTTTTGCTTAAAGCGAGAAAAAATGACAGTTAGTAAGAAAATGGCAATAAGAACTAAGAAGAACTAGAGCACTAAAACAGAAAAATTGGCAGTAAGTAAGGAAAAAATTGGATAGCATTTCGCTGCGATTTTAAGGACTGAAACGAAAATAAAAAGAAGAAGAAGAAGAGCTGAAGGAAAAAAAATTGGCAGCATTTCGTCGCTATTTTAGGACTGAAGAAGAAGAAGAAGAAGAAGAAGAAGAAGAAGAAGAAGAAGAAGAAGAAGAAGAAGAAATCACATACCTGGCCTTGAACTTAATGAGCTTGAACTTTGCTCTGCTCCTCAATGATGTTTGAAAAAAGACACATTTTTTTTTTGTTGGCAGTCACTTAAAATACTGAAACACTCGCTACTGTCGCTTCTCGCTACAATTGTACTTCTCGCTTTTTGGCAGAAGTGCACACTTCAACTAACGTGCTATGCTTCTTGCTTCTCTTCGCGCTTTAAGCGCTGAAGTGAGCGCTTTTCACAATACTGGTAAGTTATTTCTATTTTGTGGATAAACGCATAGGAGTTGACATGACATTTTTTCTATTTAGTTACCTTTATTCCATGAAAGCCAAAATTGATCGCAAAAAGGAGCTGATTAACCTGCAAATATTTTCGGCAAAAAAAGAAGAAGATGAAAATGAAAATGGTTGTTGTTAAAGGATAGGTGCAGTATATAATTCAAACAATGAATGAGGAAGAGAAATTTTTGAGTGACCTTCATTTCATTTTCACTGGAGTCGTTGGCTCCAGTTTTTGTTTTAGCTTGAACAATTCACCTTGTTCAGTTGCTAGCTCTATTTCTCCATCAGAGGAAGACAAATTCTTCTTTCTTTCTCTTGCTGCCCTCACCTATATCCGTTGTGGTTGGTGCAGGGAGAGAATGGATGATATTTTCTTTTTCAACGCACGATACAATATACAATTTTCCAGATTTGCTCCTGAATTGCGTGCGAATGCTTTTTTCACTTGAATTTTGAACAGTTTTTGACTAAGCCTGCTTTACACATCTTGCATTTGCAAGGACTCATTCTGGAAAAAGAAAATATATTAAGTTATTTTGCAAGTTTAATAGTAAAGTGATCATGTGTGAATTGTTTACTTAGAATACGTACATTAACTGAAGCTCGCTCGTAAACTTCTTCTGCAGTAAGAGATAATATTTTTTCTCCTTCTTTACCCATAACCATTCCAAATATTGAGCCACAGGTATCTTGAAGATTCACATCAAATCGACACCTATGGTATATGTGAGAAAGTCAATAAGAGTTTAGGGCAGAGTCTGATTATGCTTTGGATGTATCTATAAAATTAGATAAGAAAGTACCTGGGAGTCAACATATTCTGTTGATTGCAGTTCATACAATGAATTTCTCTTCTGACTGGACTCCTCACTTCTTGTCCACAGTTTGGACATATTAAAACGTAAAAACACTTGAGGTCACTTGGAAGTGATATTTTTGCCTCAATGAAAAAGGTGTGTCCCTATGTTACTAAAGTGAGAGTAATTTTTGTAAGGACAAATAGTTATATCATTGCATAAAATATGTGAATAGAAATTATACTGACGTCCTGATGCGATTGAACATTTGCAATTGACACTATTTCTTCATCCACTGGAATAGAAATAAGAGATCCGGATGTGAATGTGCTCCTCACAATGAAAGAAGCAAGCATTTCTTTATTTTCTACAATCCTGTGCCAAAAGTAAAAATGGCAACACCTTAGAATGTTAATAATAAGAAAGAAACATGAACAATATACAGAGGATTAATGTGATACCATTTACGTAGTTGCAGACATTGTTGATAAGGTGGATTAATCTGTATGGTTGTGTTAAACCTTGTTGTCAATGATGTGCCTACATAAATTACATTAAGAAATTACAAAATCACATTCGTTCTTTGTATAAGATGAAATATTGCTGATTTTAGTTTACCATTATATTTCGACACCCCAGTACGTCTTGCAAGAATGATGGGATACTCTTGGAATTGCCCAAGGAGTTTCTTTCCCTCATCTTCAATAATACCTTCTTCCCATATTGTAAATGTGAAAGTTTGCTTCCTGTGTAAATGGAAGGGACAAATATTTATAGTATAAAGAAGTGTCTGAAAAGCTTATGACTTGGCTAATAGACCTACCGAGTATCAATGATGATGAGTTCCTGCAATCTTTTCTGCAGACTTGCAACATATCTTGGCGGAAAGCACTTGACAACAATTGCAAGCACATCTATTGACAGAAGGATTTATTAAAGTTAATAAGTAAATGTATAAAATAGTAAATTCACAAGTTCTATTAAATTACTTGTTCGTTGATTAAAGAATAAAATTTTCATACTGTGTTCTACGTTCTTAGTTGGATTCTTGATAGATCGAGAGGCTTGATCCTTAATGTCTCTAAAGGACGTCACAGTAAGTTTAGTGGGTGGCGGCAACTCTTCTTCATCTGAGTTGTCTTTGTCAATTGGATCAATTATGGTCTTTTTGTCGATAACCCACTCAAACGTATGCAACGATTTTTCGTATCTCAAATTTGGTAGCTGTATGCGTGCACCCGTTATCAAGTAGGTATGAAATAGTCTGAAAATCTTTTCATAATTGGGGATGTCATCACCATAAATGATTGCTTTGATTTGGTCTTCCTGTAAGCAACCAACAAAGAAATTGTGGAAGACTCATTTGTAGAGAATATAATCAATTAGTTTAAAGATATTTAACAAATAAAGTAAGGCTGAATGTATGCTTCCCCTTATCTTGTTTCCTTTTGGATAAGGAAAATGTAAGCTGAAAATTTATCTAAGACAAAATATATCTTAAAATGGGGGACTTTTAGAATCTCTTTATTCTCAAAAAAATATTACATATTCATGGGTAGGTAAAAGTTCTTTTTTTTGTTTAGGCATATCATGAAATATTTTATCAAAGAAGCATCTAATTATTGAAGAGGGCAAAAAGAATTAAGTTTCATTATGAAAAAAAGAAAAAGATAGGCAGATTTGTAGCTAACATTGAAAAGTCATCCATGTACACGTTTATTTTGCAAAGATGCAATGGGCAAATTAAACAAAATCTTTGTCGTGCATGTATAAGTAAACAAGAATCTGCGCAAAAGAAAAAGAAACTAATGATACCCAATAAAAGAGTATAAGCTACACATACCCAGATAACAATAGCCAACAAAGAAAGTGCAACAAATGAATAAGATATGCAGAAATACCTCACACACCAGAGAGAGAGAGAGAAGAAAAATAAATTTGAAAAACTTGCATACCTGTTCATCTTGGAAGATCATGTTCAAATACTTTATCTTTCTGTCTGAACTCTCTCCTGGTCGACATATATCTACAACTTGCACCTTGCACGTCCAGTTTGGTGTAGTAGGAGTGATTGCACATATACCAAGTCTCTCTGCCATTGTTGCCTACAATCTGAAAAATAATTAATAATAAGTATACGATAAAATAACAAAACCAAAATACAAGTAATAACTTACGTAATAATATCTTTTTTCGAGCCAATCAAAAGACTTAGGAGAATGCCTTTTTGATAATTTCACTATATACTACATTGTAAGTAGAATGGTCATCATGATTATCTACTGTTGCTGGTCGGATTAACATCTTTACACTGTTTGAGTTTGTTGCTCTTGATAAAGCAACGTAAAGTTGGCCGTGTGAAAAGACAGGTTCACGTAAATAAATTCCTACGAAATCTAGTGTTTGACCCTGAGCTTTGTTTATAGTCATTGCAAAACATAATCGAATTGGGAATTGGGAATTGTGTTCTCTTAAATGGAATTGGTAATTTTTCATCTTGTGAAGATAATAATGGTATTCGAGGAATGAAAACATGTTTGCCTTTAAAGTCACCACTTGCAATTTTAGCACTAATAACATGAGGTTTGAAATCAGTACAAATTAAGCGGGTACCGTCACATAAACCCTCGGAAGGATTTAAATTGCGCAGTAGCATAATTGAATAATTTTGCTTTAGAACTAACTTGTATGGAGGTAGACCAGCAGGATTCAAAGTATGCAGAAAATCTTCAAATTGGCTTTGATCTTTTGGCTCTACAGTTTCGTCAATTCCTATGAATGTCATAGCAGTTTTAGGAAACTGATCTATGAACATCTGATTAATTTCATTCACAAAATCATTTTTGGTTGTTAAGATAGCGCGAGATGTAACTGAGGAGGTATCATAAATGAGTGCATCTAAATTGGGATAAATAGTTTTGAACAGAACATGCAATGATTCTTTCTCATTAGTGAATGGAATAAGGAAAGATTTTGGAACTTCAATTTTTCCATATTCATTAACCTTTTCTATTCCATCTCCAATCCTTAGTAAGTACTCACAAAAGGCAGGATCTTTTCTTGCACGCATATTTTTTGATAATCGAAATTTTGTAAGATGATTCTAAATATCTGAATATAATAAGCTTTCACAAATGAAATCTTCTTTCGTCCCGCTTTGTACAACTAGCAAAGTCTGTCTGAAATCACCTCCGAAAACGACGACTTTACCACCAAAGAGTGTATCTTTGTCCATAATATCTCTCAAGAGTAAATCAAAAGTCTCGACAAGTTTTTTCTCTGCCATTGACACCTCATCCCATACTATTAGTTTTGCATCTCGGATTAAAGATGCAAGTGAACTTTGTTTACTTATATTGCAGTTATAATTTTCAGTGGTATCAATAGGAAGTTTAAAACGGGAGTGAGCAGTCCAACCACCAGGAAGTACAGAAGCCACAACACCAGAAGTTGCTGTAGCTAAAGCTATAAATCCCTTGGATCGTACAGTAGCTAGTAGAGCACGATATAAGAAGCTTTTTCCTGTTCCTCCAGGACCATCAATAAAAAAAGCTCCTGATCCATTTGAAAATATTCTATCAAGGATGGCGTCATATGCTGTTAATTGTTCTTTATTTAGTTTTTTGAATAGCAACAAATCTTCTTCAGTCACAATTATGTTCCGCTCTAAATGGATGTCTCTAGCTTCTTATGTTATTGTGGAAGATGTAGAAGATGTGAAAGTTTTTTATATGAGTTTAAATTCATTTATACTCCGCCCCATTGAATGTAAGATATCATTTATATGATTTAGGACCAAATAACGAATGTTGTTTGTCTGTATGTTTGGTATAATTGAGAAATCTTCAGACATGGAGCTTTCAAATCGTTCCCATAAATCTCTTGGATTAGCGGGGTTACAATATACTAATAGCGTTGCAAATAAACGCCTTAGACTGTATGGAATTTGGTAATTAGCGGCTTCAGACATACAATCAATTAAGTTATTATCACAAGCTAGCAATCCTCTTTTTTTTGCGAATTCTCTAAATATGCTGCAATGCTTTCCATTTACAGTTTTGAGATCTTTATATGACTTTGGGCCTCTTATGTTCATCAATAATAGGCGAAGGTAGTATCTTTCCCCTTCTATTGGATGACACGTGACAATACGTCCAATAGCATAACCTTGTTGTCTTGGTGACCACATTTTATCACTTACTGACCATACGAAGTGTTCTGGAAATTCTATGTACAATAACTGAAGCTCTTTGGCGCGCTTATTTGTTTCATTCATTGTAAAGAATTCTGTTAATATTGTTTTCTTAATTGCAGGATTATTTAAAATTGTGTTTAGACTTGCAGTTGTCTTAAAGGAGACAAATTGTTGATTCTCAAGATGTAGTTGAAGATGGTAGACATTGGGAGTCATTTCACTGATAGGAAAGGCAAACAAACGCCACATAGCCTCCGGTGCTGACACCCATCTACCAGATCTATATTCTCTGATTTCATCAATTTCTATATTGGTATCATTACTATGTACGTTGAAAGCAATTTTATCATGTCCTTTACAAATGTACTTGTAGATATATTTAACAACTTTAACATCCGAGCAAATTTCAACATTCATGTGACAGTTAAACTTGCTTAGTAGATATGGATTGTAAGGAACAACCCATGAATTATCAAGATATTGGCTTCTAACTTTGACAAATTTTCCAGTATCTCGCCTTCTGTAAATTGGATATGAATTCTGACCTTTAGATGTTTCGTTGGCATAATCTCTGGGATATTTAAATTTACATTGTCTCATTTTTTTCATGCATGGACTTGTAGGATTTAGACTTCCACAAGGACCATGCATCATATGCTTAACAACCAAAGAATGTAAATAACTATTTGTATTACCATCTGGTAGTTCGGCACAAACAACTTTATCATAAGCCTCAAGTGTCAATAATTTATACTCGTCAGCAAGTATAATGAGGAAATGAGTGTGAGGAAGACCTCATTTTTGGAATTCTATGGTGTACATAAAAGCAGCGACTTTTCCAAATATACTCTTTTTGACTATATCTGACTTAAGCTCTTCTACCTTTGCTTTAAATACGCGACTCACTAAATCTGGTCTGCTTTGTACTTCATCAGTTGGTAGTAAGAAATCGTCTATCTCTGGCCATGAAGGATTACATGTCATCGTCAAAAAGATATCAGGTTTTCCAAAGTGTTGTACTAACGCAATGGCATCCATATATCGACGCCGCATATCTCTTGGACCTCCAGTAAAGCTAACAAGAAGGAATGTTTTTCTGCCAATATTTGAAGCCTCTCTTTCGCCTAGTCTTAGAAGATTAGTAAGTCCTTCTAATACCTCAATCCCAAATAATTCTTGATTGAATAGGAAAAAGTCTAATCTCTATGTTCCGAGTTTTATATATTCATCTACAGAATATTGTTGGAATAATCTTCCAGAATGTAAAGTTCCATTTTCTTCATCATCTCTAATTTGAAGTTTGTAGCAGTAATATTCTCGGCAGGAAACAGTACTTTTTTTCTTCCTTTCTTTTTTCAAGATTTCTTCTTCTATGTTAAGTAGTCCATCAATTGAATACATATTAGTTACACTTGAAAGTTTCTCATGTTTGTAGGAAGCACGAGGCGTAGAAGAGCTAGTTTTTTGTTGAACCTTTTAGATGCCGCAATGCCATCCGTTTTCATCGTAGGGAAATAACAAAGGATATTGTAATGGGTCGTAGCAGCCATAGTAATAGTGAACCAGTTGGTTACTATTACTATGGGTGTAGATATGAATATGGGGTGTAGACAAAGAACATTCCAATTCTTCGTCAACCCATATAGCGGCGACTTCTGATACGCTAGGTAAATTATATGTTCGTTGGTCCAAGGTAGAATCATTCTTAAGTGCGATGTAAAAGTTAGATAAATCTGGAATGTCTGTCAAAGATTTCAGAAAGATGGAGTATGGATTAATTTTTAGAATGTTCATCAATTTTGCAATAACCGACCTGTCATGTTTTTCTGAAAAAGCCATCTTGTTAACTATATCCTCATCATTGTCATAAAAATAAAGCTGCAAATTTTTGGCTTTGTTATCTCTGGGGGTGAGGTCATTTATAAAATGGTACATTTGTCCTTGAACTCTAAATGTATAGACACCTTGAGTTCTTTTTGCTAATTCCCTATCGTACTTTACTCCAAAGGAAGTAAATGCAAACATGTTGTTGTATGTTCTAATATAAGTACGGAAATGATTGGATTCATTGTTCATGCCAAAGTAAAGGCTTTTTAACTCAGAAGGTAGGCGTTGTGAAACTAATTTTACTGAACCATTACTACAACAAAAGCTAGGAGTTTCATATTGAAATCTTCTAGCTCCACAGAATTTACAATTTGACTGGGTAGCTGGTTTATATTCCAACACCCTACCTGTGTTGAGGTGTGTCCTGTAACATCATATGTAGTTAAATTTTTATTATTGTTAACTATCTGAGGATAACCTAAAATGTCGGAAGTTAATCGAATATTACAGTTCAATTCAACCAACCATTTCGGGAAGAACAAGGTGTGTCTCGGATGAAGGTAGCAGCTTGTCCTGGAATCATCCTTTGAGATTCGGAAGAAGAATGACTTTGATCAGAAGGTTTGGCGGAAGAAATTTCAGAAAGACGGCATTTTCTTGCAGCATATTTAGTCCGACGTCGCTCTAGAAGTGCTGCCTTTTTTCCAGGTGGCATTTCTCTGTACGCGATACGTCGCCTAAGGTTTCTTTCATTATTTTTGGCACGAAGATATGGATGTCCTGTCGTGTGATCAATTAGGTCTTCATCCATCTTTCTTTTGTTAGAAGACATCTGACTTGAACACATTTCATATAGGACTTTTGTTAAAGTCGAAACTTTATAAGGGTAACATTTAATCTATTCTCATAGGGACACATATCTACATATCATAACACAAAACACAAGGTAGAAGCAAGTTGCATTGTAGGTAAACAGACAACGTTATAGATCACAAGTTGCGAAAATTACCTGGTGTAGCAAAATAGTTCACTCTCAAGAGCCTGAAAAATAAAATTGAATAACTATTATATTCTAGCTGAATCGAGGAAACATATGTGATAATTAGCAGGGATAATATAATATATTAGTATTACTTGAGGCAAATATCATGCGTGTATACACCTGAAGGTAAAAGCAATCAGTGTTGTTTTCAGATTGGATACCCATTTCCTTTCATGTTTCTGTTAGTCTAATTTAAGAACATGCAAAGCAATTGTCCAATTGCTATCAAGAACTAAGAGAAACCTAAGATCGTACACAGAAAATGCCCAACTCTTGACACATACTTTCCTATGGATGAACCCCCAGAAATTTATCTAAAAAAACCAAAATAGCGGAAAACTATTCAGTGTAGCATAAATTTCATCAGAAACAATAAAGATAATAAAATTTTCAGTAGAAAAGAATTGCAGTTGCCATGCATGTAGGTAATCAACAGAAATAGCCATAAGCTCTAGATGTCCTAAATTTTATTCTGAAACAGGAGACAGAAATATAAAATTTGCAGGTGCTAATCAGTATAAATTAACTTCCGACATTCATCTGAAAGAAGCCACACATGCAAGACATCAAATGCAGAAAGCATAAAGAAATCAAGAGAAAAAATAGGAAAAAAAAAGAAAGACCAAGAGGAATCAAGCATAAATAGAAATAAAGAACTCTTCATTTTCAGATGTAAACCACGTATCCCATTATGTTCCACTTTATGTCACGACCCAATTCCCAAACCCGGTCGTGATGGCGCCTCTCGTGGAGACGAGGCCAACCAACTAACCCAACTCGTCTTTTCAGAAGTAGTTAAACATAAATAAATAGCTTAAATATGACTTAATAGTATTAATTAGCGGAAATACAACCCAACACAGCCCTAATCGGGGTGTCACAAGTCACGAGCATCTATAAGAATGTGATTATATTTACAAGTCTAGAAATACACTGAACAGGAATAATGAATAACATGGAAAGAAACGGTGCTGCGAACGGTGGCAGTCACCTCGCTAGACTACTA